CGGTGCCCTGAGCAACCTGACCAGCTGCCGTACTGTGATCATCGCAGGGGCGTATTTCTGCCGTGGGGCTTGTCGTCAGCTTCTTCGCACAGACGATGACACACCTGTTCTTCAGTGTGGGGATCCTCACAGGTCGGTGTAGTCCCTTTTCTTCTTCTGTTTCTTCTTCAAATGTTGGAAAGCATTACCACCGCATGGAAAATGGCTATAGGTGTTCTCTCTGATGAGCGAGACTGCATTGGTTTTTATATTTTAACGTCACTCAGTAACACAATTCCACACCTAAGTCCCAACGATTTCTTCTTCAGGATTGGGTCTATGTCTGATGTACTCACCAAGCCTGGCTATGATTGGACGCTACTTCGACAAGCGGCACGCCACAGCCAATGGGATCGCAGTTTGTGGCACTGGGGTTGGCATCTTTGCTCTTCCTCCACTCTTCCAGTTTCTTATTGATGAGTTCGGATGGAGAGGCGCTCTCTTGATCGTCGGGGGTTTACTGTTCAATGGCTGTGTTTGTGGTGCCCTGATGAGGCCAATACACTTGAAGGAAGATCGTGGCAAAAATCAAGACAACAGCGAAGCACAGAATAGTGAAGATATTCTGAAGAAAAAGACAACTCTTGTTTCTTTTTGTCAGAAGGTCCTGCAACCGTTTGACGTGACCTTACTAAAACACCGCTCTTTCGTCATTTACAGTGTGTCCTCGTTCCTAACCTCGCTGGGCAACTCAATAATTTTTGTACACCTTGTGGCCCATGCTCAAAAGGTTGGAGTAGAAAAGACACCAGCCGCTTTTCTCCTGTCAATCATGGGAATTTCAGAGGCCGTCTCTAGACTGTTAAACGGTTGGCTGTCGGACAGAAGAAAGATCAGTAAAGTTTACTATTACATGATTGGAATCACTGGACTAGCCATATCTAACATCGCCATACCGTTCGGGAGAACATACACAGGCCTTGTGGTGTGCATGGTGTTCTATGGATTTTTTTCGGGCATTTTCTTCCCACTCATTGCAGTTTTGGTACGAAAATACAGCGGAGTGTCCCGCATTTCCGGTGGGCTTGGGTGGGCCTTTGTCTTCCAGGGCGCTGCCTGGCTGCTTGGACCGCCCATTGCAGGTAAGCAGAAATAGTTACTTTTGATTTATCCTTATTACTAGCTATTCGTCGTTCAATGTGTAGTCTATTAGAATTGATGCACACTTAAGCTCATATAGGTCACATAGCATTTAATACTAATGATGTCAATATGTATATTGAGGTTGCCAGTTTTTCGACCCTGATACATGTACACCCCTACCGAATGACTTTTAAAGTGCCTAATACGTGGCATATTCATCCATTACCCAGGTTGGCTGTATGATGCGACTGGAAACTACGACTGGTCTTTCTTCGCGGCTGCCATCTTTATTTTCGCGTCAGTGCTCGTGCTTCTCCTCAACCCGTGCTCAACAACCAGAAGGACACTTGGCCCCGGTACCGGTCAACTTCCAGACCAGTGCGACGGAGTAGTTGTTCTTAGCCACATGCCGCGGGATACCAGTAGTAATGTCGGCCAAACGAACCAGAGTTTTCGAGAAATGTAGATGACCTCCCCTGTATGCCTATGTATGAGACACTTTTCTGCAAACAATTATGCAACCGTTAACTTTTAACGATAGATTCGAAGCATTTCGAAGCAAGGGAGCACGTGTATGTTTTCATAACTGTACCACAATTCAAGACGTTGGAAAATAGCAGACCTTTGTAAACTTCGAGAGGCTTCATCCATTTATATCTATCAACAAAACTCAATGTCAGTGGCTAGCCCCCCGCTGTAGCGTTAACGTATGCATGTGGCCCATCTAGAAACAGAGAAGGACACAGCATTATACCCTGAAAGCTTTGCACTACTGTCTACTGTGTGGCCCAAGGGCTATACAGAGATGGACACAGTTTTATACCCCTAAAGCTAAGTGTGAGACCCATCAGTGTTTACTGTCAAAAACTGTAAGTACAAAGAAATGGGGGTTTTAACTTATCACCAATATAAGAATATGCAAGTGTCTAGCAATACAAGATGTAAAACTTAAGGCAGTGCAATTACCTTCAAAATAATTTAAGTCGAATTAATTGGTTGGAATAAGGAAACAACAAGTTATGGTTACCCTTTTGTATACTCATCAGAGCTAGTGAAAGCTGTTTAAAGAACTAATGTCAGTGAAAATATATAACAGGAACAATAAGAATATCGCCTGCAGGCGTTTTATATGGTGTTACGGAATCACTAAGGTCCTGGGGCATTCAAGAAGTGCGAGCGCAGCAGAACTGGATACGGCAATGTTGGTTACGTAGGTAGATAGTTCTGAAGGCTCTTCCTGTTCTAACAGGTGCCTCAAAACACTTGACTCTCGAAGTCGTACACGGCCAACCACTGATATCCAACATACATATTGCATACAATTTTTTAACATACATGGGTGGGTAACTCACACACCTACATACAGTGGACGACCCGAGTCTGACCGGCACCCTGGAACCGGTTTGGGTTCAGTGTGTGACAGAATTCGAAAGGGATGTGCCTTGCGGTATCGATGCACACAAACGATTGGAGAGGTCAGGTCGCCGAAAGTTCGTCGTCTTGGAGATAGACCTTTTGAGTGGACATCACAGACAACTGCGTCTGAGGTTAACTGTGAGTATACTTTTGATTTTTTGACTGTATAAACACACACATATATATAATAAATTATACAGCCAGGACTGCCAAACTAGCCAGAGGCTATTATAAAGGGCTAGCCTTCACGACTAGAAAATAAACCATTAGTAACAGGTAACAGTTAACAGTGTCGGTTACATATAAACAGATAAACATACTATATACATACTTTTCTCGCCTTTGTCTACAATAAAGTAAGTTAGCCACGGTGCCATTAACCTTTGGCTCAGCCTACTTGTAGGACTAGTATGACTAAGTTTACAGCAGCCTATGTAAGCTGTGCAAAACGAATTTGAATGTAGATTGGTCATTGCTATCGACCTACTACTTAGTATTAGACATGCATATTAATGTCGTCCTGGGTAGTGTTATTTGTACCCCTGGAACACTACCGCACAATCAACTTAAACCAACCAGAGATGGTAGGCTTCATCCCCATTTCCGAACAAAGTTGAAAGATCGAGACCTGCTATAAAATCGCTGGCCTACATCTTGTTGCGGTGTATCACGTCTAGGGGTATTACGTCCCGGCCTAGACGTGCACAGTGACATTCTAAGGTGCTTTGGTATGTTTAAGCTTAGCGTAGTTTTGCATCAATCCTATGATCTATGTCGCTCCTATCCTTGATATGTAGTCACGTATCGTTTTTCAACAGAGACTGCAAGACACAACAAGAGGAAAATGGCAAAGAGGCAGTTTGCTGAAAAGCCGCCAAATGGCGGGTGGGGCTGGATGGTGGTGGTCGGCACCTTCTTCATACATGTTGTAGTGGTCGGTTCTACCAAGGCTTTCGGAGTGTTCTACGCAGAGTTCAGGGAAGTTTTCCAGGAGAGTGCCGGGATCACCTCCTTCATCAGTTCTATCCTAGGGGGTATGCTGTTGATGTGTTGTGAGTATACAACCACATAATACATAATTATTTCTGACTTTTCGCTCTCGGGGAAAAAGTTATGGTGAACAACTTGACACTTCAACCTTATTAATGGCCATGATGTTTCTTTCTGATGTCGATCAAGGTGATCATTGAAAGTGAAGATGTCGATGACCAAATGTATCAATGATGATGGTCTTTATGCATAGTGCAACATGTACATAAAATCAATTGTGGCTGTTGATGCATGACTTTGAGTGTAAATTGAATATAAGATTGCACAAGACTCTCACTGATGCTCCTAATTGCAGTCAAACAAATGACGATTGTGCAACATCTTTTAGCTCCCTTTGCCGGTGCTCTGAGCAACCTGACCAGCTGCCGTACTGTGATCATCGCAGGGGGCGTCATTTCTGCCGTGGGGCTTGTCGTCAGCTTCTTCGCACAGACGATGATACACCTGTTCTTCAGTGTGGGGGTCCTCACAGGTCAGTATTCGTCTCTTTTCTTTTACTATTTATTCTGTTATGTTATATTCAAACTTAACAACCATTGCATAGAAAATGACGGTATCAGTATTCTGTCTGATGAGCGACCCTGCAATTGTTTTCTCCAGCACGTTTCTCAATAAAACATCCCCAAACCTAACTGCCTGACAATTTTTCCTCAGGATTGGGTCTATGTCTCATGTACTCACCAAGCCTTGCTATGATTGGACGCTACTTCGACAAGCGGCACGCCACAGCCAATGGGATCGCAGTTTGTGGCACTGGGGTCGGCATCATTGCTCTTCCTCCACTCTTTCAGTATCTCATCGACGAGTTCGGGTGGAGAGGCGCTCTGTTGATTGTGGGGGGTTTACTGTTCAATGGCTGTGTTTGTGGTGCCCTGATGAGGCCCATACACTTTGAGGAAGATCGTAGCAAAGATCAAGTCGACAGCGAAGCACAGAGTAGTGAGGATAGAAAAATGACAACCATCCTAGTTTCTATTGGTCAGAAGATCATGGAAACGTTTGACGTCACTTTACTAAAACAGCGCCCTTTCCTTGTCTACAGTGTGTCAGCATTCGGAACCGCCCTGGGCAATTCCATCGTTTTCGTCCACCTTGTAGCCCATGCTCAAAAGATTGGAATAGAAAAGACGCCAGCCGCTTTTCTACTGTCAATCATGGGAATCTCAGAAGCCGTCTCTAGACTGTTAAACGGTTGGCTGTCGGACAGAAGAAAGATCAGTAAAGTTTACTATTACATGATTGGCATTACTGGACTGGCCATATCTAACATCGCCATACCATTCGGGAGAACATACACAGGCCTTGTCGTATGCATGGTGTTCTATGGATTTTTCTCGGGCATTTTCTTTCCGCTCATTGCAGTTTTGGTAAGAAAATACAGCGGAGTGTCCCGCATTTCTGGTGGGCTTGGGTGGGCCTTTGTCTTCCAGGGCGCCGCCTGGCTGCTTGGACCACCCATTGCAGGTAAGCAGAACTAGTTACTTTGTGTTTTGTCTTTGTTACCCATATAGCATATAATACGAATGATGTCCATATGTATATTAAGGTTGCCAGTTTTTCGACCCTGATACATGTACACCCCTGCCGAATGACTTTTAAAGTGCCTAATACGTGACATTTTTATCCATAACCCAGGTTGGCTGTATGATGCGACTGGAAACTACGACTGGTCTTTCTTCGCGGCTGCCATCTTTATTTTCGCGTCAGTGCTCGTGCTTCTCCTCAACCCGTGCTCAACAACCAGAAGGACACTTGGCCCCGGTACCGGTCAACTTCCAGACCAGTGCGACGGAGTAATTGTTCTTAGCCACATGCCGCGGGATACCAGTAATAATGTTGGCCAAACGAACCAGAGTTTTCGAGAAATGTAGATGACCTCCCCTGTATGCCTGTGTATGAGACACTTTTCTGCAAACAATTATGCAACCGTTAACTTTTAACGATAGATTCGAAGCATTTCGAAGCAAGGGAGCACGTGTATGTTTTCATAACTGTACCACAATTCAAGACGTTGGAAAATAGCAGACCTTTGTAAACTTCGAGAGGCTTCATCCATTTATATCTATCAACAAAACTCAATGTCAGTGGCTAGCCCCCCGCTGTAGCGTTAACGTATGCATGTGGCCCATCTAGAAACAGAGAAGGACACAGCATTATACCCTGAAAGCTTTGCACTACTGTCTACTGTGTGGCCCAAGGGCTATACAGAGATGGACACAGTTTTATACCCCTAAAGCTAAGTGTGAGACCCATCAGTGTTTACTGTCAAAAACTGTAAGTACAAAGAAATGGGGGTTTTAACTTATCACCAATAGAAGAATATGCAAGTGTCTAGCGATAAAAGATATACAACCTAAGGCAATGAAAATACCTTCAAAATAATTTAAGTCGAATTAATTGGTTGGAATAAGGAAACAACAAGTTATGGTTACCCTTTTGTATACTCATCAGAGCTAGTGAAAGCTGTTTAAAGAACTAATGTCAGTGAAAATATATAACAGGAACAATAAGAATATCGCCTGCAGGCGTTTTATATGGTGTTACGGAATCACTAAGGTCCTGGGGCATTCAACAAGTGCGAGCGCAGCAGAACTGGATACGGCAATGTTGGTTACGTAGGTAGATAGTTCTGAAGGCTCTTCCTGTTCTAACAGGTGCCTCAAAACACTTGACTCTCGAAGTCGTACACGGCCAACCACTGATATCCAAAATACATATTGCATACACTTTTTAACGTACATGGGTGGGTAACACAAGCACCTACATACAGTGGACGACCCGAGTCTGACCGGCACCCTGCCTGGAACCGGTTTGGGTTTGTGTGACAGAATTCGAAAGGGATGTGCCTTGCGGTATCGATGCACACAAACGATTGGAGAGGTCAGGTCGCCAAAAGTTCGTCGTCTTGGAGATAGACCTTTTGAGTGGACATCACAGACAACTGCGTCTGAGGTTAACTGTGAGTATACTTTTGATTTTTTGACTGTATAAACACACACATATATATAATAAATTATACAGCCAGGACTGCCAAACTAGCCAGAGGCTATTATAAAGGGCTAGCCTTCACGACTAGAAAATAAACCATTAGTAACAGGTAACAGTTAACAGTGTCGGTTACATATAAACAGATAAACATACTATACATACTTTTCTCGCCTTTGTCTACAATAAAGTATGTTAGCCACGGTGCCATTAACCTTTGGCTCAGCCTACTTGTAGGACTAGTATGACTAAGTTTACAGCAGCCCATGTAAGCTGTGCCAAACAAATTTGAATGTAGATTGGTCATTGCTATCGACCTACTACTTAGTATTAGACATGCATATTAATGTCGTCCTGGTTAGTGCTATTTGTACCCCTGGAACACTACCGCACCATCAACTTAAACCAACCAGGCAATCAGAGATGGTAGGCTTCATCCCCATTCCCAACAAAGTTGAAAGATCGAGACCTGCTATAAAATCGCTGGCCTACATCTTGCGGTGTATCACGTCTAGGGGTATTACGTCCTGGCCTAGACGTGCACAGTGACATTCTAAGGTGCTTTTGCATGTTTAAGCTTAGGTAGTTTTGCATCAATCCCATAATTTATGTCGCTCCTATCCTTGATATGTAGTCACGTATCGTCTTTCAACACAGGGACTGCAAGACACAACAAGAGGAATGGCAAAGAGGCAGTTTGCTGAAAAGCCGCCAAATGGCGGGTGGGGCTGGATGGTGGTGGTCGGCACTTTCTTCATACATGTTGTAGTGGTCGGTTCTACCAAGGCTTTTGGAGTGTTCTACGCAGAGTTCAGGGAAGTTTTCCAGGAGAGTGCCGGGATCACCTCCTTTATCAGTTCTATCCTCGGGGGTATGCTGTTGATGTGTTGTGAGTATACAACCACATAATACATAATTATTTCTGACATTTCGCTCTTGGGGAAAAGGTTATGGTGAACAACTTGACACTTTCAACTTTATCAATGGCCATGATGTTTCTTTGTGATGTAGATCAAGGTGATCCTTGAAAGATGTCGATGACCAAATGTATCAATGATGATGGTCTTTATGAATAGTGCAACATGTACATAAAGTCAATTGTGGTTGTCGAAGCATGACTTTGAGTGTAAATTGAATATAAGATCAAAACCCTCATTGATGCTCTTAATTGCAGTCAAACAAATGACGATAGTGCATCACCTTTTAGCTCCCTTTGCCGGTGCTCTGAGCAACCTGACCAGCTGCCGTACTGTGATCATCGCAGGGGGCGTCATTTCTGCAGTGGGGCTTGTCGTCAGCTTCTTCGCACAGACGATGATACACCTGTTCTTTAGTGTGGGGGTCCTCACAGGTCAGTATTTGTCTCTTTTTTTTTCTGTTAGGCCATGTTGATTTGATTATATGGATGACATCCGCGCGCGCATGAATTTTCGGCCGTTTCCAAAAAAAAAAAGTTTTCAACCATACTGTAAATCGTACAGCGTGTTGTTGCCGGTCGTTTCTCTCTCCTCCCCACAGTCTACACTGCTGACTGAGGGAGTAGACCACACGCCCTACTCCCAGCTAGAGGTGCCCCCCTCCCACCGGACTGCTGAGCCTGACTCCACGCAGACGTTCTACACTCAGCGGGCCCCTGTACATAAGGGGCCCTTGCCGGTGTGTACCTAGTACATTGTAGTGTTCACTTTCCCAGAATTCTGATTTGTTCGCAAAGTCAGAGCCGAAGAGGCCAGCTGTAGGTGTG